CACTTACACACACTTACACACACTTACACACACACACACACACACACACCACATTGTATGATTCCCCATAGTTGGCCCTGCGCAGTGCGGATCAGGTTGGTCACCCCGGATGAGCCGTCTTATCTTGACTGCGGCCTTCCTGTGTTTGTCCATCGCGGCCTCTGTCCGTGGACGGGACGTGTCCTCCCTAGTGGCCTCCAGCACCTGGGAATCCTCCTAATTCCAGTCCATACAGTGTAATCTGTGTGCATCGGGCTCTATATTCCGACGCAAATATGCACTTTGCCTTCCAAACAGCAGCTGGGACAACATCGCGCTGTAACGATGGGAAGTGATTCGGCTGCAACCTCCAGACTGCTGTTTGTGTGTTTTTTTCTTCATTCATAACAAGCGACCTTTGTAACATGGAGGGAACCTTGAAATGTCTGTTATGTCTCCGGGACCTCTGCGCCTTACATTGGGGGTCAGTGGGAAGAATGCTCCTTACATTGGGGGTCAGTGGGAAGAATGCTCCTTACATTGGGGGTCAGTGGGGAGGAATGCTCCTTACATTGGGGGTCAGTGGGGAGGAATGCTCCTTACATATTTTATACCTGCGCTGCGTTCGGCTGTGACACAACAAGCTGGTTAATGAAGGTATTTCTTGTATTGCAGAGTTGGGGGTGCGGAGCCCCTCGGTCCTCAGCGGCGTCGCCAGCACAGAGACAATTGGATCCTATGGCGGTCCTGTGACGTGGGAGCGGAGCGGGCTCTGGAAGTGGATATCGGGCCGGAAGGAAAGGTAATTATCTGGCTGAGCGCCTATAACGCACAATATCAACTGTGGTCAGGAAGCCACGCCGGTGTGTGAATGTTACCTGTGTACTAGTAGCGTGGTCACCGGGATGTGCGCTGACCATGACGTTTTACATCATACGTGTGTGGTAGATTTTACACGTGTCTGCTGACTTCCATACGGTCCAGAATATACACGGTGCCATAGACGTGTCCGGGATCCGTGTGCTGGGATCCGTGCTGTCATGATCTCAATCTGTAGGCTGCATTTCATCTGATGCTGAATTTTAAAAATGAAGGGGGGGTGGGGGAGGGGTTTCCTGCTGAAATTCCACCCAGACCCTTAAAGGAGAACTATGGGGTCAGTGTTTTCCCCCATAGTTCTCCTTAGGGTAACGGGAGGACACAAACTAGCGTCCTCCCGTCACCCTAGGCTCAGTATATAGGGAGCTACAGCTCGCTGTATACTGAGACGCCGCAGCTGGAGCGGATCCCGACATCGATGTCTGGATGCGCCCAGCTGTGTGACTGACAGCTGGCTCTGCCTATCTAGAGGCAGAGCCAGCTGTACCCGCCCCCTCCCCCGTCCGTTCCACCAGTCGGTGCCGGAGGATCGGAGAGGGGAGGGGGGAATCCAGCCCCTCCCCTGTCACTGCAGAGAGCCGTGACAGGATCGAGAAGTGAGCGAACGCCGGTATTTGTTCCCTCACCTCCCGATCTACTGAGCCGACCTGTGACAGTCTCATTGTCACAGGTCGGCTAGAACTATGAGGGGAGTGAAAAGCCCCTCCCCCCCCTCTCATAGTTCTCCTTTTAAGGTCTGCATGATTTGCATGTTTTCAATGTGACCCTTTCAGCTGCATAAAACGCCCCTCTTCCTGCTCGATGGTATTTTTTTTACATTTTTGGGGTTTATTTGCTTTGGTCCTCCATGGCAGTGCCCAGCTGCCCGTGCCGTTTTTCAGCAGTAGCTTGCTTGTTGGCCTCGAAAATGAGTAACACCAAAAAAAAAGAAGAAAAGTTTACTCCCATAGATCTCAATGGGGTTCTACGCTAAGGTTCGGGTTCATGGACTTCCCTTTCGGCCCCGTGCACACTTGCGCATCCCTACTCGTCTGCTCTGTTGACTGTGCAGAGCTGACCTTGAGACGGACTGAGTGATATCTTGTTGGGAGTCGATAAAGTTGTTTTTATTGGCGTCAGAGTGCAGCTTTGTGGATTTGCAGACTGAATTCTCTGTTGGCTGCTGGGGAGGTTTTCTTACTTCCTGTCCAGGGGACACCTTGATATCCTCTCACACATGGTGTCACAGCAGGAACCGAGCAATAAGAACCTGATAGAGGCTCTAATCCTCCTTCCCTCTTTGGTTGGGTGGAGGAGCCCTTTAATAGACCTCCTTGTTGGTTGGATGTGAAGAGGTTGCCGTCTAGTCATGACATTCTCCGTCTTCCGGGTTTCCTCCTCCTGTCTGCACACGTCTTCGTGAGCCCTGAGTCACCCTGGAAGACTCTCTGTGTCGGAACATTCCCATCCCGGGAACATAACACGGCTTGTTCCGGAGCGGAATCTGATCTCGTACAACACAGGATCCATCGTCTGCCCGCCCCCGGCGTGATGAAAGCCGATGATGTAACGGCTTCAGCATCTACTTTGGCTCAGGAGGTTAAAGTGGAACTCTGCACTGAAAATATAAATGTGCGAGCAGGCTGACATACTGTGTGTGTTCTGCAATAAAAGATTCTCACCGGCCTGTTCAATACAATGGCCCAGCTCGGTGTACAATCCCAACATCTGACGGGTGTCTGGATGAATGAACTCCCGGTCATGTGACCTTCCATCCCAGCACGGCTAATGAATTAACTCCCGGTCATGTGGCCTTCCGTCCCAGCATGGCTGATGATGAATGAACTCCCGGTCATGTGACCTTCTATCCCAGCACGGCTAATGAATGTACTCCCGGTCATGTGGCCTTCCGTCCCAGCATGGCTGATGATGAATGAACTCCCGGTCATGTGACCTTCTATCCCAGCACGGCTAATGAATGTACTCCCGGTCATGTG